AGGAGAGCAGTGGAGCCTGCCAGGGATCTGTACATAACTGCTGATTTTACTGTGCAAGCTACACACAGATCCCACACAGTGTAACCAGTGCACCAAGCACCATCTGTATGTGTCCAAGAGCACATCAACTTTTTGTACCGGTGTCCCATCAACATCTGTTGGTGTCCCGGTGCATATCAACATGTGTCACAGTGTCCCAGTGCACATCAACATTTGTCAGTATCCCCAATGCACATCAACATCTGTCAGTATCCCAGTGCACCAACATCATCTGCTATAGTGTCCCAGTGCAACATCAACATCTGTCAGTGGGTCAGTAACTGATTTAGAGGAGAAAGGGGTCCCAACAAAGAGATTCAGGTGATCTGAGGAGGACCAGGCAACCACCAGCAGTGCTTTACATTCTGGTGAAGTAGTGATCACCGTTAGTGCAGTACACCCAGATGATAGGCCAAGTACTGGTAGTGGGGTGTCATGCCCACCACAAAGCATTAGGGCCCATACCACATGTGGTATTTCCATATTCAGGAGGAGTAGCAGAATGTGTTTTGAGGTGTAATTCTAAGTATGCCTGTGCTGTGTGTTAGAAATATTGTAGAAATTGACAATAGATTGGGGTGCTTGCTTTCCGAAATGTGGTCATTTTGTGGGACTTTCCACTTTCTGGGTGCTCCAGGGCCTCCAAAAATGTAATAGGTAGTCAGGGAGGTGTAATTTATGCCCCTAAAAACACCTGAAGGTATTTCTTGGATGTTGGGCTTCTCTATGTGGCTAGTCTGTGAAAAGGTCTCACCACACTCAGTAGGAGTAACAGAATGTATTTTGGGGTGTATTTCATAGTATGTCCATGCTGTGTGTTAGAAATATCTTATAAATTGAAATCTTTGTGTAAAAAATCTATCCACATTTGCCAAACACTTGTGGTAAAAATTGACATGTTCAAAAGACTTATTGTGCCTCATAGAAAATACATTGAGGTGTTTGCTTTCCAAAAGTGGAGTTTAGAGTGCTGATCTCAAGCCACCACATGGACTGTGCGGGGACCACATTTGTAAGTGCTGGACGATTTTTTTGTTTGTGTTTAACCTGTTTTGTATTGCATGTGGATATTTATAAACAAATACTAAACTATGGATGAAAGTCATTTTTGACTTTTGGTGAGCATCTATCCCATACAGCCACACTCTATATTCATGCACCCTGGACCATGAAGATCTGCTCAGTGGATCAATATAAAAAGGATTGCCTCCATGAGAGAGCTGGTGTTATCTGGATGATTAGAGCGCTGTTGCTGCTTAGAACTTTTTGTAACCATATGTTTCAGTGAGTGCGAAGTACTGGTGGTTTTGGCACAGTGTATTTTCAAAGTGTAATTCACACATCTTGAATGAAGTTAAGGAGGAATGTATGGTGGACTTATTATACGCACTGATATATGGACTATTGATTGTTCTCATATTTGTTCATCATTTTTTAACATTTACATTTTTTCTTGTGAATTTAGTTCTATATAATTTTTTTTATTTGCACTGAGGTGTTGTCTTTGATTATTGGTAAATCATTTTTGATGTTTAAATTTGTTTAGTGCTGTACCCATATATATCGTTACATACCCTGAGAGGAATTGGGCATATTATGCTAGCAGCTTTTGTCCACTAAGCACTGATTTAGCACTTTTATTTCATTTCCTGGTATTTATCTGTTCTCTCAAAATATATCTTTTTTTTTATTTTGAATCAATACCTGGCATAACCACACAAGCATGCTCTAAAGGAGATTAAGTAAAGAGTCAGGGATTCCTTTGCTGTACACTCAAAAAATGTTGTGATCAAAGCATCAGCATGCCTGCCAGAGAACTAGCATTTACTAAAAAACCAAAACTAGCATTTACAAAAACCAGAGAACTAGCATTCAGTGGCAGTTCCAATAATTCTATCATAACAGGTGTACTTTAGAAAAGCCAGATTTGCAAACTATGCAATGTGTGCAAAATATATTATTAATCACATTTATTTTTTATAGTATGTCATCAGAGGTTAAACTTAGGAATAGAAGCAAACAACCCATAAAAGAAGAAAAAGAAAAATTATTTTAATTGAAGCCAAAACATACAATGATAAAACATTTTCCAACAGCAGAATTCAGTGCTCTTGAAATCAAACTAACTTTTCAGATTTTGAGTTCTCCACAAAGACCTTCAGAATGTTTTATAAACAGGGCATGTGCATTATAAGGATGATCAGGCATTGTTAAACAGTTTTAGCTGTTTGAAAGTAGCATAAATACAAGCAGTGGTTGTGATTTATTTCAGATATTGTAAAATTTGAGGAATGGAAGAAGTCTACAATAGGATGAACACATTCTTTCTTTCCACTGATTCACTGTGCAGTGATTAAAAAGTAAGATATGTACTTCTTCCCTTTCCTATTCCGTACAAGCAAGATGTGTCATTTGACTGACAACTGGATGGTTTCAGTAGAGGTCACCTTTTCAAATTCTGTATGCATCCTTTTTAGTTCCTGCTTTAGCGGTATTGTAAATAATTTTAAAGTCTGAATTATATTTTGTGTTTTTCCAAACAAAAAAATACAGCCATTCCAAATATGTTTTAACACTATCAGCAATATGTCTGAATTTTATATGTTATTTTGCTTTCACCCAGACTTTCACCTGATACAAAATCAAAACTTCAATTTAATTTTTTAAAATTTGTACTATCACTAATAAAAACATGGAAGTGGGGTCAATATTATTTTTTGCCCTTGCTTTTAAGTGTACTGTATGTATGCCTACCCCTCTTTCTTTGGCAGTAATGAAGATACATATTACTCAGATAATCTAAGCACAGGGGCGGACTAACCATTTGGAAACTCGGGCAGTGCCCGAGTGCCCGGGGTCAGTAGGGGGCCCCATGAGATGCCCCTGGTACCTTTTTCATAGGCTTTTTTGAGTTTGGGAAGGACACAGGGGCCCCATGATCCCCTATTGCCCAGGGGCCCCATGAGTTGTCAGTCCACCCCTGCCGACACACAACAAACATTGGTGTAAAAGTGTGACTCTTAAAAGAGCAGTAATATCCTGCTAATATTATACATAAAACAGGTATGTTAACTACTGATTTGTGCACAAAAAATATTTAACGTACATGGTTGTTCATAATTTTAGCAGGGTATGGCATTGCAACACACCACACAAAACGCCTTACATGAACCAACTGAGCCCCTGAGACATTTTTCCTCTTGTTCCTCTGGAACATATCACACATTAGAACAGATAGAGCATTCATTTTATAGCAGATTTGTATACATATACTTTTATTTCCAAGGCTTTTGCTTATAAAAAAAATTAAAAAGAGCATTTTTCCAAAATGCTTTTTTGGAATATTTCCTGGTTCAGCTTTTACAAAAATTGCACAGCCCCAGATATTACCCCAAAATATAACCAACAAAGTTCTTTCATTAACTGGATATCAAATAAATGTAAATTTGGTGTTAACAAAGTGGATTGGTAATGCTCAATGGGAATTTTTGCATTTTACTTTAGAAGTAAATTAGAAGTTTATTCTTCCTTCTATGCTACTTTAGAATGCACGTAGAAATAAAAGCAGTTTTCTGAGAAACAGCATAACATTAACATAAGATCAACTTGGGTTGGAAAGGAAATTAGTGGTTGGTAAAATTATGAATTACATTGCATTCGCTTGAATGAACATTTGACACTCCCGTAATAAATGCAAATATCATTCAGATCACCCAAAATAATTGTTGGGACCTGAGATTAATTTGGAGAGGGATTGTGTTCATTTTATTATGGATTTATTTTTCTAAGATATATATATATATATATATATATATATACACACACAGAGAGATGGTTGTTTTTTCTACATGTGCAGCTCTTTACAGATCTTTTCTAATAGTGATCTTTTGCTGGATGCAATCAGCCAGCAACAGAACACTATCACAGTATAGAGCAGCTTATCTGTTTCCTATCCTCTGTACTGACTGGAATTATTGTGTTGTCACACATGACATCACAGCCAGCGGAGGGATTGGCAGAGAGGGATGGCAGATATGGAACGGCGGCTGGTATGGTGGATGAGTCTGGCAGCAGCATTCATGATAGACTGAAGAGGAGATAGCCTGCGATGAGGTAGGCCAATGAGGAGGGAGTTACAATAGTCAAGGCGAGATATAACAAGGGAGTGAATAAGTTGCTTAGTGGTTTCCGAGGTTAGGAACGGGCGTATCTTGGAGATGTTCCAGAGGTGAAGTCTACAAGATTTGGACAGCAATTGGATTTGGGGTGAAAGGACAGATGGGAGTCTAGGATTACACCTAGTACCCTGTCATGAGGGGAGGGGCTGATGATTGTGTTATTGATCTTGATGGAGAAGTCAGGAGAGGGGAATGGGCTGGAAGGAATATGAGTTCAGTTTTGGAAAGATTTAGTTTGAGGAAGTGGAGTAACATCCATGCTGATCTGTCACTTATTAGGTTAGTAATGCGAGAGGAGACTGAAGGGGTGATGTCCTCCCACTCTAGCTGAGCATGTGCACCCCTGGGGAATGCCGGGCGGCAATCAGTGGAGCACTGTGTCCCTAGGATACAGCAGATCACCGATCACGGTAAAGAGCCAATGGCATAGGCTCTACCATGTGACCAGCTGTGTCCAATCACAGCTGATCACATGTAAACAGGAAATGCCGGTTATAGGCAGTCCTCTCCTCACACTGACAGCACACGAGGAGAGGAGAGCTGGTAAGCAGCATTCCTCAGAGGGGACATCTACACTGATAATCATGGCACTGATCATCAGTGCCCTGACTACCAGTGCAGCTCTATCAGTACCCGCCGATCAGTACCCATCATTGTCACCAATCAATGTCCATCAATGCCAGACATCAGTGCCCATTAATACCAAATATCAGTGTCTCTCAATGCCACATATCAGTGCCCATCAGAGCTGCCTTTCAGTGTCCATTAGTGTTGCCTGTCAATGCCCATCAGTGCCATCTATCAGTGCCTTTTCATCAGTGCAGTCTATCAGTACCCATCAGTGGCACCTATCAGTGCTGCCTATCAGTGGCCATCAGTGCCACATATCAGTGCAGCCTTTTAATGCCCATCAGTGATGCCTATCAGTGCCTCCTTGTCAGTGCAGTCTATCAATACCCATCAGTGCCACCTATCAGTGTCAGTCAGTGCTGCCGATCAGTGCCAGTTAGTGCCGTATATTAGTGCCCATCAGTGCCACCTATCAGTGTCAGTCAGTGCTGCCTATCAGTGGCAGTCAGTGCTGTATATTAGTGCCCATTAGTGCCAGTCAGTGTCGCCTATCAGTGCTGCCTATCAGTGGCCATCAGTGCCACCTATCAGTGCCAGTCAGTGCTGCCTATCAGTGCTGTATATTAGTGTCCATCAGTGCCACCTATCAGTGCCTCTCAGTTCCAGTCAGTGCCACCTATCAGTGCCCATCAGTGCCACATATCAGTGCAGACTTTTAGTGCCCATCAGTGATGCCTATCAGTGCCTCCTTGTCAGTGCAGTCTATCAATACCCATCAGCGCCACCTATCAGTGTCAGTCAATGCTGCCTATCAGTGCTAGTCAGTGTCGTATATTAGTGACCATCAGTGCCACCTATCAGTGTCAATCAGTGCTGCCTATCAGTGCCATATATTAGTGCCCATCAGTGCCAGTCAGTGCCACCTATCAGTGCTGCCTATCAGTGGCCATCAGTGCCACCTATCAGTGCCAGTCAGTGCCGCCTATCAGTGCTGTATATTAGTGCCCATCAGTGCCTCAGTGCCACCTATCAGTGCCAGTCAGTGCTGCCTATCAGTGCCCATCAGTGCCGCCTATCAGTGCCACATATCAGTGCCCATCAGTGCTGCCTTTCAGTGCCCATCAGTGATGCCTGTCAGTGCCCATCAGTGCCATCTATTAATGCTGTCTATCAGTGCCCGTCAATGCCATCTATCAGTGCAGCCTCATCAACACACTTCAGTGAAGGAGAAAAAAATATTTATTTACAAAATTTCAAAACAGAAAACTTTTTTTATTTTAAATTTTATCATTTTTAGTTTGTTTAGCAAAATAATAAAACAGCCAGTGGTGTTTAAATACCACAAAAAAGCTCTGTCTCAAAAAAATGATACAAATTTGGTTTGGGTACAGTGTTGCAGGATTGCGCAATCGTCACTCAAAGTGCAACAGTGCTGAAAGCTGAACATTGGCCTGGGCAGGAAGGGGGTGAAGGTGCCCAGAAGGCTATCCTAAGCAGTGTGTGGAGAAAATCCAGCTTCAGAAAACCACAAATATTACTTTTGTTTCCAGTATACAAAACTGTTCAAATTTCAATGTATACCCTCAAAGAATTGAGTCCATACACCATCTATGAGAACAACTAGAGTATTTATTTTACAGCTTTAGCATTTAAATTGATTAGATAATTCACTTTAGTCATTATGCATTGAAGTGTTTGGAGGATCATGCGCAGAGATAAGTGAAGTTTGCTTGATTCATCTCTGCAGTTCAATTAGAAGCATGACATCACATGTTTATATTATGGGTTTTTTATGGGCTCAGGAGAGGATTTTTAAGGAAAATATGGGGAAAAATGATCTCTAATGACTCCATCTAGAAATTCATCTAGATTAGTAGTGATCTGTCATCAGCTGTGTCCCATTGACACAACCGATGACTGCGAGCACGTGAGCGTCTCGTTTTGACAGGACATTATATGTCGCCCAGTCTCAAGAGGAGTGTCCCGCCCAGCCATCAATCTGCTCGAGGCCAGGCGGGAAGGTGTTAATTATTGAATGAAGAAATGTGACTTGCATTTTACCAGTGAGGGGATTATAGGGGTGATTTGATGCCACAGAACTTTTAGCACAAAGGGACTTACCCTATCATAGTTCTTTATATTGACCCCTTTTTTTCCACTGAATAATTGAAGTCATTATAATTATAAAAAGTCTGGTTTCCTTCTGGTGGAGAATTCTGCCTCCAGTAATCTTTATCCTTTCTTTTTGTCTGTCCTCCAGATTTTACTTTATTCACCTATTCCCCCTACCTTGGCTTTTCCAGTTCACCAGCTCACAAAACCCTCCACCACAAAATCTCCAGACCCAGTACGGACCCTTATGAGAGACCTATTGGCATCTCAGCTTTTCTGTCCCTGCATGCTGACACCACTCAGACTTTCAATTCTCCTGTGGAAGGATGACAATGTTCAGCATCTTAGCTGCTCTGAACCCTACAGCTGACAATGGTCAGTGCTCTGTGGGTTCCAACATAAGTGTGGCAACCAGCACAGAGACCTTCCAAGAGACCCACTGGCACCTTGGCTTCCCCAGTTGACACTACCCCTTGGGTTCCAACACTGATAACAACATGTCTGCTCTGTACCACCAGCTCACACCACTCACTACAAGTGCAGTTTACAGACCGTGTCTTGCACTGGAATTACCCTTCACCAGACTGTGCCATCCTAACCTCCCAACACCTACTGGCATCTCAGCTGTTCTCACCCTGCAAGCTAAAAGCATTCAGAATATCAACTTTCCTGTGGTAGGATAACAATCTTCGGCATCTCAGCTGCTCTGGACCACACAGCTTTCAATGGTCAGTCCTCTGTGAGTTCCAACATGGGTGTGGCAAACAGCAGTTAGACCTTTCAAGAGACCTGCTGGCATCTCAGCTTCACCACCTAACACCACCCATTGGGTTCCAGCATTGATCACGACAATCTCCTCAGGTGGTCAGGGGAGTATTTACCACAAGCAAACAAGGCACTTGCCTAGGGTGGCATTTTTCAGGGGGCAGCACCTCCCCCCAGAAGAAGGGATGAAAGAAGGGACACGCACGCCATAGGAACCAGGTGGGATCCAAGAGAGGCTGCAGGCTGCTTGATGGTGTATGCAGAGCCTGACTCTCGTTCCCGGGGATGTCCGGAGCTGTGAAGAGGAGTATCTTCCTCTCTAGTGCTGGGGGGGTAGTGGAAGGCTCTCCCTGGTGGGGGGCAGGGGTATTGTTGGTCAATGTCAGGCTCTCTCTGCGGGAGGAGGAAGATGGGGTGTTGGTTTGTGTTCGTGGGGGCAGATGATTTTTATGTTGCCTAGAGAAGCACAAAACCTAAATACACCACTGCAGATGGTAGACATAACCGTGTCTGCTCTGTACCACCAGCTCACACCACCCACTACAAGTGCAGTTTACAGACCCTGTTTTGCACTGGAATTAACACTTCACCAGACTGTGGCACCCTAACATCCCCATTGCTCTCACCACTGTACATGACTTCCATCCTTCCCCCCACTCTCATCCTGCCATTATTCATAACCATACTTCACCCTCATCCTCCACCACTGCTCTCACCACTGTGCCTACAATCTAGCCCCTCAACCTCACCACTTTCAACAGACAGCTACACAAGACACCCTAATAGTCTACTCTCACCCCTCCCTTCACTATGCCTGACCTCCTAGCCTTCTCCCATGCACCTATCCCCATTCTTTCCTCCTTTGCTCTCACCTCACCTGCATGCAACCATGTTTCCCCCACTACTTTCACTACTGTGCCTACAGATTGGCTCTCTGAACCCCCTCTCCCCCACTCCCACCACTCCTCTCTTATCATCTACTGATATACATATGTATAATCCTCACCAGCAAGGCATCTCACCTGGCACTGACATCCTTTCTTCCCAGACTGAACACGTCATCCCCTACTGACATCTCTCCTGATATGCTCACCTCACCTCGTGCTGACATCCATCCCTCCCTGGCCAAACACATCAGCCCACACTTAGATTTTTCCTTCCTCATCAGCACACCTCACCCCTGATAGCATCCATCCCCTCCCCAGTTTAACTGCACCATATATATTGGATTGTTTCTAAAATCCCCAACCTAGTCTAATCTGGAACAGGCACACTTTTGTTTGAAAATAATAATGTATGTGCCTCTGAAGTTCCCTGCCATTTGGAAACAGTTTCTTTTAACCTTATAACCATCACTTTTTGAACACCTGTTGAGCAAAGATAGATATATGGCATTTTCTAAAATAGGGTACTTAAAATATAATTTACACAGCTTGTAGCTCTATATGTGGATACAGCAGGAATGATCTCAAACAAATGTACATGGGGTGCAGCATACCAATAACAGTGATACGCTAACCCGGGACCTGCTGATCAACTGAATCACAGCACAGATGGGCAGCGGGCACATGTGCCCCTTACCCTGAAATGCTGGATCAAGTACTTGTATGAGATCCAGCGCAGAGTGTGTGCCCCAACGCAGTATATCTAAATCTTGTAGACAGGTTAACACCTCACATTTCCTCTTTCAATCCAAGCCTATTGGTTTTGTCCCAGATGAGAAAGCTCAGGACACCACAATTAAGCCATATCATTTACTGACTACACCACCAAAACTAGACACTCGTTATCCATAGATGCCGAGAAGACATTTGATTGCTTGTATTGGACTTTCATTCGAGCCACCTTTCAACAAACTGGCCTACCCCCAACATTTCTCATAAATGTCATTCCTCTATGATTTCTCAACAGCCAATATAAAGTGAATGATTTCCTTTCTGACCAGCTTAGGATTAGCAATGGAACCAGGCATGCCCACTGTTGCAAGGTTGTTGTTTTTTTTGCATCGGTATATGTCTCCCATGGCCATGCCAAGCTAGCAAGCTAGCAGAGTCCTTATTTTTTTTTTCCAAAAAAACAAAGTTTATTGAAAACAAGATACAAATGATCACACGAAAATGAAAATGTACAGATGAAGTGTACATAGGACATACAGCAAAGCATGTATCATACAAATGCAAATGAGGTCCAACGCAAAACCAAACAGTGTGGATGAACTAGGCCACGACAGGGTTGTGCCTGTAATATTTAGGTATGCTTGTCAAGTGCTAAAAAGAAAGAGACGTTTGGCCTCCTACCATATTGTCTTGCGGTAAAAATCTGTAGGGGGGGAGACGAGCAAATACGATGCCTAAGTAGAAGTCAATACTACAGAATACGATGATGGAATTGTGCGAATGTAGGAGTAATTGTCGTGGGAACCGCTGACGAATTGCGGGAGGTGATGCTGACCACCTACTCAATGTTCTATTGGAAAAATTGTCCAAGACGTGTGTGTAAGCATATGAAAAGAAAAGAAAAGGCGAGAAAAAAGGGAAAGAAAGAGGAAGGGAAAGAAAGAAAGAGAGAAAAAAAAAAAAAAAGAGGGGAGGGGGGGAGGAGAAAGGGAAGCAAATATGGAGGGTAAAATAAGAGAGGGGACAACTGTCAAAAAATATCTTATCCTCAATACAAAACAGTAGCGGGAGTGGGTGGAACCTACGCTTTCATCGGCGTCGAAAGAATGCGCGTGTAACACACAGGGGGAGTATGA